TGTGTGTGTGTGTGTGCATGAGAGAGAGACAGAGAGAGAGAGACAGAGAGACAGAGAGACAGAGGGAGAGAGTACAGGCCTGTCTGTATCACAGCACATGCGTGGGGGTCAGAGGACACTCAGGTGTCAGTCCTCAACTCCCACCTTGAGACAGGGCCTCTTGTGTGCTGCTGGGTGCGCCAGGCTAGAAACGATGGGATTACAGACAGACATGCCTGCCTCTGGCTTTATGTGGGGTTCTGGGGATCTAAACTTCATGTTTGTGGGGCAAGTGAGTTGCCCATTGAGCCATCTCCCTAGCCCATGAAATGTACCAGAGGGTTCTCTTGGAGCAAAGTGTGTTCCAGGTCTGGTCTGGAAGCCAGTATTGACACATGGTGTTGAGAATTCATCTAACCCCTAGGCTTCCCCCACAAGGCCAATGGTGCTCCCTACTGGTTGGAGGACACTGAGAGTTTGTCATTGTGGAAGACCCAGTAAGATCCAGGCAAGCTGGGGAGGGGGTGGGGAGAGGTGAAGGTCACATTATGAACAAAGTGCTCAAGAAAAGAGTGATGAGGGGACAGGAAGAGATCTGGTGGGCAAGAGCTGTCCACGGGGCCTGCCTCTCTCCTCTCTGGCAATGGCAGGGCCCAGGGGCCCAGAGAGGACAGTTTTCAGGCACCTCCCCCTGAGAAGGTGCCAGTTAGAGGAACAAGAGGCAGGGCTCTGTGGGCCACAGAACCTGTTTTAGTTCCTGGGGACCCCCCCCCCCCAGGCTTCCCGGAGTCTAGCAAGATAGCCTGATCTCACGTGTGACACAGACACAGCAGCACAGGAGAAAGAAGGGGTGAGCACGCATGAGCTGGCGGGTACCGGAGTGCTGACAGGAATATATGTGAGCGGGGGGGCTGTGAGTGCTTGAGAGAGGACACTGGAGTCTGGCCAGTGCTGCCTATGGTCTGTGTGTTCACGTCCTGGGCTCAGGCAGGGACTGCCTCTCTGGGAACCTGGTGGCAAAGTGTCCTCTAGTGGCCAGAGCGGGAAGTGCAAGGAAGAGGAAAATGAAAGTTGACCCTAGAGATTCAGAAAGGGGCCCAGCTGGGGTGGGGTGGGGAGAAAAGGGTAGTGAAGGGAGCAGGGTCTGAAGCAGAGGCCAATAAGCCTAGACAACGAAGTTCATAGGTGCCATCAGGTTTCCCTGGGCTCCACCCTCCCTGGAATTTGAGGTACCTGCTGGACAAGAAAGAAGGTGGGCTTGGACTGTCCTGGATGCAGTGGGCAGCTTAGGAATTTCAGCAAAGTGAGCCTGCAGTCTTCCTCCCACAACCACCTCTTCATCTGGGGCTCACTTGGCCCACATTGCTAAGGACCAAAATTCTTACCGACTGCCCTCAAGTGGGTGGTACCTTAGGGCTGCCACCCACAAATCCAAAGACAACAGCTAGGGCTTCCATGGCACAATCCCCACTAGGTGTCTGGGACCCTGCTCTTCAGTGGCTGGTCTCTCATGGCCCAGGATTGGTGTGTGTGTAACCTGGGTATGAGAGTGGGATGAAGTGAGGCCACCTTGCCACCTAGCCCCAGGCAGAGGAAATGTTAGAGGTGTGGAATGCTTCTCTGGATATGTGTTGATTTCGGGGGGGCGGGGGGGGGCGGCTCAGGAAGTCAAAGTCCAGGGATGGGGACATCTACTCCAGCACCCACATACTGGGTCACTCAGCCTGTGGATGGGAATGCATTTCTACTACAGGGAGGTCTGTTTTCAGTGATTTCCATTCTGGGTGAGGGCATCCCTAGCTGGGTAAGGGTGGGCAGGTTGAGAGCTCTAGTGAGCTTGGTCTAGAGTATTTTAAACTAACCAGTGGTTCTGAACTTTGGGGTGGCTTTCATTTTTAAGAAATCACAAACTCACAAACCTTGGATAAGCTGGCTGCATCGTGCAAGAACATTTGTTCTTACAGCAGCATTATAGCACAGAACACCACTGAGGGCACAGGACACTGTCATGGTCACTCGTGATGCTTAGCCCATTTCCTTTCTATGTACATGGTTACTACCTACACCTCTTTTTTCCTAGCCACTGGCCACAGCTTTAGCCCTGATGGTCTAGGACCCAGAGGAGGTGGTCATGGAGCAGGTAAAGTGGGTGGCTTAGATGACAGGCCCACCCAGAACAGCTCAGCACCAACGTCCCTGTCCTGCCTGCTTGGGCCTCAGTTTCCACATCTGCAAATGGGAGGTGGTGCACTGATATTGCGGTGGCTGTATCCCCTTTGAGTCTGCTCCATTTCCTTTCCTAATAGTGGGAGACAGGATCAGACTCCAGCACTGTCCTAGGGGCCAGAGTTCAGTAAGACTGGTCCAGTGTCAGCACAAGGAAGACCTTGGGCCTTTAGTTCTGGCTTCTGGCGCTCAGTTCTTCAGCTTCCCCAGCAGGAGGGTGACCAGCATCTGGTGTTCCTCTGGGGAAGGGAACTCACCCTTTCAGGCAGTTGGCTCTATTTTGGGGTAGTTCTGCTGCACCTCTCTAGGTGCAGTCTCCTGAGAGGCTCTGAGGTCCCTTCCAGAACTCCTTGTGAGCAGGGCAGGATAAAGGCCACCACAGGGTTCCTATTCGCCTCTCCAAAAAAGTGCAGCCTGGGAACTGGACCTTGCATGTATCACCCACATGTGTAGAGAAAGCAGAACTCTGAACAGGGTTTCCAAGGTGGATAGGTCAGTTAAAGCCTGCCAGCTAATTAGTCAGGGGCCTTGAAGACAGGACTAATCTGGAAGTACCTCCCAGGTACACTGCTAATGAAATGGGCCAGCTTCCCGTCTTAGGTCTGGGTGCTCGGATGGTAGAATTGGGAGACTCCCGCTGCATCTTCAGGCTGTTTCCTGCTACATGGTTTCACTCTCACTTTCCCCTGGAGCAACAGAGGCATCACTGCTAATTCCCAGCCTGTGCTTCCCAGGCCACTTTCAGGGGCAGGGGAGGCATTGAATCCCAGCTTGGATCACAGGTCCATTGCTATGACCAGGAGCCTCTGTACTTGAGACTGGCCCATGGGCACCAGCTGAGGGCCTAGCATGCACCAGGCACTACAGGAGCCTTTACAGTCACAGAAAGATACCATGAAACAACCAAGAAAACATGTCATAGGATAGAATCCGATTTTTGTAATAAAAAACCCAAAACATTAGCCACGTGCTTGTCCATAGAAAGTCCCCATGGACGGAGCTATCCCTTTAAAACAAGCTCTGTTAGTTGGACATCACTTTCCTTTTATTGTTTTGGGGTCTTGGGGTGCTGGGGATTGGATTCAGGGCCTCACATGCTAGGTAAATGCTCTGTCACTGGACTATCCCAACCCCATTTATCCTTTCCTCTGAATGACATGCAGGTAACTGGCCTCTACAGAGGGCGTACCCTTGGTGGCGTAGAGTGGGAACAGCTCCCTCCTCGTGTGTAAGCCTCTCTACTGTGTGTTTGTGGGGGGATTTCCTTAGAGGCTCAGCAGCCTAGAGGCTTGCTTGTACTAGAAGCGAGGACATGGGACACCTGGCTTAGACTGGCCAGATAGGCCCCAACTAAGGATGCTCAATGGCCTCAATAAACCAGAAGGGACCCTGTGCACAAAACTGTAGTCCTTGGTCTCCACCTATGGCTGAGTCCCATAGTTTGTACTGGATTTTCCAGTATAAACACTACATGGTGGGTCACCCAGCAGACCGGTGTGAGAATCTATTTCCCTTTCTCAGTGATGGCCCAACTCTGGTATCGTGTCACAGCAGCATGAACAGACCAGGCAGGGCCAGGTTGGGCTCCAAAGAATGCTTTTGCAGCTTTTGAGAGGGGCTCCCTCAGGGCAGACATAACCAATGGAGCCAGGAGACCCTCCTTTGAGGATCTGGGGAAGAAAGATCTGTATTTCATAGATGGTGGGGCTTCAAAGGGGCTTCCACCCTGGGAGAGCCTGGGAATGGCTTGCTGACCCTGGACCCCAGGAGTACCGAAGACTCCCTTCCTCCCTTCCTGTTCACAGAAACCATCAATGCACAGCTCCCTCAGGCCTCTCACCCAGGATGAATCTCAGTCAGTCAGGCCACTGATAGATTCTGACCCTGCCTAAGGCAATTGTTCAGGATGCATATAACTGATCTACCCTCCTCCAAACCCAAGTTTTAACCAAGTCTCTCCAACACCCACAAAACTGCGCTTTGTTTGAATGGCCACAGTAGAATTTATCTAGGACGAGTGAGACGGGCTGGGGACTTGCCTAGCATACGCAAAGTCCTGGCAGTACATTCACTGGGCATGGTGGCACACACCCCAGTACTTGGGAGGTGGAGGCAGGAGGATCAGAAGTTCAAGCTCATTTGTGGCTACATAGCAAATTTGAGGCTAGCCTGGGCTACATGAGACACTCTCAAAAATTTTTGAAAGCAAGACTGATAATGTCTAAGACACCCCCAGTGACCAAGCAAATGATAGCCCAGTCACCACGGCAGCCCACATGCTCAATCTCCAGAAACTGCTATAAACTTCAGACTCAGAATGTCTCTGACAACAGTCTGTGGTCTCTGGGTTCTGGAGAAGAGGGACTAGAAAGAGACAGAGGGAGGCCAGAGGGGCTGAGGCCACCAACTATAACCTCAAGGGTGGCAAAAGTCCTAAGTGTGCTGCCTGCAGGGGTGTGGGCAAATCCTACCTGATTCCCCAGCGAGCACTTGGGCCAGGCAGAGCCTTTCCATCATTATCTGTACGCCACACAGACTCACATCTGCCTCAGAATCCACTCTGTATCAAAGGCCACCGTGCCTTAACCATCGACATCACCCAATAAAGGACAGTGGTTTCTGCTACAAAGGTCAGCCACACTGGTCCTTAGGGCCATGAATGTCCACATACTATTTTTGCATTTGGAAAGGAAAGGCCGTTTAGGAAACAGAATAGAACCCCTCCACGCCCCCCCGCCACACTCCTACCAAGGTACAGAAAAGGATAGTCAGATGAAGCAGCTGTGGGCACTGACCTGAATTTCCCAGTCCGCACCTGTAGCGCTCTCATCCCACACTGCTGGGCACCGCCAACATCTCCCATGATGTCGTCCCCAATCATGATGGCCTGTCATGGCAGTGAAACATGAAGTCGTGTCAGGAGAGTTTTACTCCTGGGCTCTTTCATCTTTTTTTGACATAATAAACTGCTTGATTTGATGTTTAAAATCACCATCATCCAAATTAAACAAGATAATACTGTCATTGTATTGATTAAAAGTCAACTCACCTTGAATATATCTCCTGCTGCCCCCATGGGCTGTGGCTCTGACCAGTATATATTTATGCAATGTGAAATCAATCAGAAGACGTCAAAGTGATTTGGAGCCCTGAGGACATGAGGGGATGCTGGTTCCTGCTTCCATTCCATCTAAGTGTAGGCTGCATTTTTACCTGATGCCAAATACTCTGTGATCAGGTAATTTTGCCAATCTAGTATGCTGTGAAACCTAAGCTAACCCTGGCAAGTCTTTGTAGTCCACCATTCAAAAGGTCTTGCTTTCAATTGTGAAGTTCCTGACTACTTGTCAAAATTAAAATTTAACAACACAGAAACAGACACAGGCACAAGAAATACTTGCATACAGGATACCATTTAATGAGCAGTCTCTGGGATAGATTCCTCCCACCCCAAACAACCTCCAGACCAGGCAAACCCTGGGAAGCAACAATTCTCATGCACTGGGCATCAAGCAAGTACTGAGGCACAGGGAGCAGGTGAGGTGGCCCTGTGATTGGCCCAGACTCCTGTCACGTGTTCTCAGACTGCATGTGCAGGAGGCTGTCTATGGACTGGACGTGTGTCCTCCAAAGTCAAACAGTGAGGCTAGCCCCCAGTGTGACTATTTGCAGATGGCTTCTAGGGAGGTAATTTAGATTACATGAGGTCATAGGGCAGACTGGGGTCTTTATTGAAGATGAAGAGATCCTGTAGCTGTCTCTACACAAACACAAAGTGAAAGATCATGTGAAAGCACGGCAAGAAGGCAGTCACTGTGGTTTGGGTGTGGTATGAGGGTGCCCCCACAAGGGTTCATGTGCTCTGTTTCCAGTGTGGTGGTGTCAGGTGGAGGGACCTACAATGGATGCAACTGGAAATCATGTTAGGCAAAATAAGCCAGACTAAGAAAGGCGAATACGGCATGCTTCCTGGCATATTCAGAATCTGAAGTTACAATTATACATGTGTGCGTATGTCCATCTATATATATATGTGGTCACAAAACTAGAAAGGGCGATCACAAGACAAGAGGAAGAGCTCTGAAGGGAGGTGGGTGGGGATAATAAAAGCATACATGTAACAGGACAGCACAGGGTGGGGGGCTGTCTGCCTGGACAAAGAAAGAGAACCAGCCGGAGGGGGAGGAGATGTGATGGAACAGTCTAAGCCTCACTCTTGGATCTCTTCTCCACCTCCTCCTGTGTTTCCCAGCCCATGTTACACATCCTGGTGACAAATTGATTCTCCATAAGGTGAAGCCAGAGATGTTCTTACATAATCACGTGGTACTTACTCTTAGATTATGGGAAGTGAGTCTTCCACTTACTGTAATGAGCCAAAGTTTCTTTTATGTATTTATAAATTAATGTTTTTTAATTTTTATTTTATATGTATGAGTGTATTGCCTACGTGTGTGTAAGTCCACCCACGTTGTGGAAAGCCCATAGAGGCCAGAAGAAGGCATCAGTCTCCTGGAACTGGAATTATGGACAGTTGTTAGCCACCATGTGGGTGCTGGGAATCAAACCTAGGTCCTCTGGAAGAGCAGCCAGTGCTCTTAACCACTAAGCCATCTCTCTAACCCCCAAAGTTTGTTTGGTTTTTTGTTGTTGTTGTTTATTTTTCTTGTCCTTTGGAGATAGAGTCTCCCTGTAGCCCTAGCTGGCCTGGAACTCACAGAGATCTGCCTGCCTCTGTCTCCCAAGTACTGAGATTAAAGGCATGTGCCACCACGCTTGACCCAAAGTTTCTTTTAAAATATACTTAAGGGTTGGTTTTTGTTTTTTTTTTTAGCACCAATTTAAAGAAATACTAAGCAAACAGGAGTGGCAGTGGCATGTGCCCAGCCGTGATAGAGGCTGGGGCTTTCTTCTGGTATGACAGGGTGTGGGACACTGCTAAGTGCGCCAGTAGAATTTTTTGTGTCTATCAAGCTTTCACAGCTGTTTGGAAATCATCCAGCTACCTGGAAAGGCCTGGCCTAGGGGCATCTGCTCTCCATAGTGGGACAGCATGGGGCACACCACACATGGACAGGTGACTCCAGAGCTTCGGGACTGCACAGCAACTCAAGCGGCGTGGCCTCAGTGCAGGCGGCAAGGCATCCCACCCAGCTAGACCTGCCTCCCCCTTTCCAAAGGGCTGTCCTAAAATTGTTGAGTCAGCCTCTGAACACCCAAAGGTTCTAACTCAGGCCATGTCCAGTGCAATTAGAGGCTCTGGGACCCTGTATGACTGGGGACCCTGGAAATGGAACACCTCTCCCAACTACAGCATGTTTTGTCTGACACCTTCCATGTAAAACTGAGTGCATGTAGGGGGCTGTAGCCTAGTAGTTAAGAGTTCTTGTCTAGTATACAAAAAGCTGTGGGTCCGGGCTGGAGAGATGGCTCAGTGGTTAAGAAAACTGGTTGTTCTTGCAGAAGACCTGGGTTCAAATCCCAGCACCCACATGGCAGCTAACAACTGTCTGTAACTCCAGTTCCAGGGGATCCAACGGCCTCTTCTGTCCTCTGTGGGCACTGCACAACACGGGTGCACTTACCTACATACAGGCAATACACTCATACACATTAAAAAAAAAAAAAAGCTGTGGGTCCAATCCATAGGACTGCATAAACTAAGTGGGGTGGTATATGCATGTCAGCTCAGCACCTGGGAGATAGCAGGAGGATCAGAAGTTCAAGGTCATCTTCAGCTACATAGTGACTTCAAGATCAAACTGGATACATGAGATGCTGTCTCACAAAAATTATGTATGTGCATGCACACAACAGTAGAGATTCTTCCCTCTCAGAAGGAAGTCCGTGGGACTTCTGGGCTGGCTATTTATTGATGTGGCCCACGGAGCTGTCATCCAGGGCTTCGGTTGATGCACAAAGCCAGCATGGGGCAAAGTCCCAGGAAGCCTCGATGCGTGTGGCAGGGAACAGGACTGGATGTGGGCAGTCAGTGGGGTATGCAGCTGCGGGGAGCAGCGATGCCTGTCTGGGCCAGCTTGTGGGCTCCGCATACCAAAACATGCTGGGCACCCTGGGGAATTCACAGATTTACTATCGGTGAAGGGCAATAATCACACCAAGAGGAGCAATTATTGCCAAATCATTTAGGATTTAAAAAATCATTGGCAAGAAGATGGGGGTCAAGAGGTGCACCGTCGGGGGAAATAAAAAGAAACCCTCTACCTGTCAGGCCTGGATTTCACTCCCTTTGTGACTATGATGTGGTAGAGGGAAGATGGACACTCAAAACTGAAAGGCCAGACTCCCACGGACCCCAGACGTGCAGGCGGCTGTCTCCGTCCCCCATGGACCCCAGACGTGCAGGTGGCTGCCTCCGTCCCCCTGGCAGGTTTTCTAGTTTGGGTTTATAAAGCAGATTCTGGGGCCGGGCATGGGGCTTTGTTGGTAGAGTGCTTGTCTAGCATACATGAAGCCCTGTGTTTGATCCCCAGAACCACAATAAGCCAGGTATAGTGATGACAGGCCTGTAATCATAGCACTCAGGAGATAGAGGCAGGAGGATCAGAAGTTCAAGGTCATCTCTGGCTACACAGTGAGGTAAAAGCCAGTCTGGGCTACATGTGACCCATGTAGAAAAGAAAAAAAAAGAGAAAAGAAGAAAAAGAAAACATTCTCTGACCCTTCTTCAAGACTGTCTGCATGTGGGTCTCCCCTTCACCATCCTACATGATCACTACAGTCTAAGAGGGGAGATGCTTTGGAGGACAGGCTTCCAGGGTCCAAGGGCTCTTCAAGAAAGTCCATGCTTCATGAACTGTCAGCTCTCCCAGGACTCTGCTGGGCAGAGCATCTCCCCATCACAGGGCAGGACAAAGCAGGGCAGGGTGGGGACAAGGAACACACACCCCATGTGGAGAGTCCCCAAGGTGACACCTACACCGTCAGCTTCCAGGCACCTCAGAAACCTGGATATGGCACTTGCTAAGCCATTGCAACCATGACCTGACATATCCATAAGGAAAAATACCAACACAGCAAAAGCCAAGGACCACTGATTTTTTTAAAAGGAAAAATAGGAGAGGGATGTGGCCTAGCTGGTAGAATGCTCGCCTAGCATACATAAAACTCTGGGTTTCATCTCCAGCACAGCATCAATCAGCCATGGAGGTACATGCTTGTAACCTCCATAGAGGGTGGAGACAGGAGGTTTGGAAATTCAGAGTCATTCTCAGCTGTACAGTGAGTTCATAGCCAGTGTGGGCTACCGGAGACCCCACCTCAAAAAACAAAAGAGAAGCAATGGTATGTGAAGTAGGAATAGACAAGTACATGGTGGCCCCACAACCACACACCTAGGGTGTCTGGAAAATGGTAACAAAGGTCCAAAGGTACGAACATACAAGGGCACATGCCAGGGTTATGTTCAGAGGAAATGGAGCCACCTGCTGCCCACCAAGGGGAAATGGCAAAACTGACGAAACACTACACAGTCACAAGAACTGCTCAAGTGCTTAAATAAGCACAAGGAAACTCAACAGGATATGAAGGAGAAAAAAATGAAGTTTCAAATAGCAGATACAGGACTGTGTTCATTTTGTGTGGAAAAAAATTAGAAAGGTTAAGCATAATTTGTAGTATTCTAGGCTAAAGAAACAAACTTTTTCCCCTGGTACTCTTCTGAGATTTTTCTACCTCCTTTGATAAACAGGGCGTATTTCATAATCATATGAAAACACTGAACTTGTATGTGTGTGTGTCGGTGGGGGGGCACCAGTCTGTGTGTGTTTATACTCATCACGTGCATGCAGAAGCCCTTGGAGGACAGAAGAGGGTGTCAGATCCCCTGGAACTAGAATTACAGATGGTTGATCGCTGCCATGTGGGTGCTGGGAACCAAACCTGGGTCCTACGCAAGAGCAGCCAGTGCTCTTAACCACTGAGCCATCTCTCCAGCCCCTGAACTTGTGTTTTGAGAAAAAAATTAACTCTACTACAAAGGTTCTAGGGGAAAATACCTTAAGGCAACCTAAGCCAGAAGGTTTTAGAGGCACCTTGAATGAGATTCACACAAAGAAGTCTCAGCTAGGAGTTCCTCATACTCCCATTCTGTAATGCTAGGTGCTGGGTATCAGGCCAAAGCAGCAGCCTCTGGCTGGGCTGCATGACTGCCATATATGCTTCTGGCTCTTGTTCTCCAGGCACTGGCAACACACTCACCCACCACAGTTGTCTGATCACTGTCAGGAGCTAAGGTGGGTCATCCCCAAGCTGCCATTCAGAGAAACGCACACAGCTGGGGACCCAGAACAGGGAAGCCTCCGTGGAAATACCTAAAGACATGGTTATGGGGGGGGTCCCACGAGGCCTCCACACGGAATTTATTTTCCACCAGTGGTGCAGAGTATCTGTAAACCCCATAGTTTAGACTGACCTGAAACAGGAATGGGCAGTAGGGAATGGTCCCCTTCTTATGCCCAGTCCTCATGGAGACCTACAAACACGGCCTTTCACTGCTTTTTACATTCTGTTCTACTTTTGTCTATTTATTTTGTGGGGGGCGGGGATGTGCTACCAGGTGCATGTGGAGGTCAGAAGATAGCTTTCGGGAGTGGGTTACCTCCTTCCACCATGTAGGTTCCCAGATCAAACTCAGGTTGTCAGTGCTTTGAGCACGCTCCTTTATACTAGGCCATGTCACTGACCCTCAATTGCTTTTCTCAATCAGAGATAAGGTCTTGCTGTACAGCTAGTTGGGCTGGAACTCACTTCCCTCTGCCGCAGCCTCTGGAGTAGCTAGGATTCCAGGTGTACATCACCACATGCAGCTTCTGTCCTCATTTTTGATGGACCATCTTGAGAGCAAGAGCCCAGTTAAGTCTTCACATGTGCTAACCCTCCTCACCCAAGAGCTTGAGTTGCTTTCTCTTCTATACTTCGCATTTTATCAACAGTATATATTTTAATAATTTTCAAAACAGAAAACAGTATTATGCTACTAAATATGCATATGCATTTTCAACTTCATTTAGGGAGCCCAAGAAACCTTGATATGCCTGGCCCTCCTTGAGAACTAGAAAACAGTGAAGAACTGGAAGAGGATGGTCTTGGTCTGGTACTAGGTTTTTGTTTTGTTTTGTTTTTTTTATGTGTATGAGTGTATTGCCTGCATGTAGGTAAGTGCACCCGTGTCGTGCAATGCCTGCGGCAGACAGAAGAGGCTGTCAGATCCCCTGGAATTGGAATTACAGACAGTTGTTAGCTGCCATGTGGGTGCTGGGATTTGAACCCAGGTCTTTTGCAAGAACAGCCAGTGTTCTTAACCGCTGAGCCATCTCTCCAGCTCCTAGGTTCCCCCCCACCCTTGGTCTTTTTGAGACAGGGTTTCCCTGTAGCCCCAGCTGCCTGGAACTCGCTATGTAGACCAGGCTGGCCTCAAACTTGAACTCACAGAGATCCACCTGCTTCTGCCTCCCAAGTGCTAGGTGGGATTAAAGGCATGTGCCACCATGCTTGGCTTGGAACTAGGTTTTAAAGACTTAAAAAAAATATTGTGAAGCTGGAGAGATGGTTCAGTAGCTAAGAGCACACTGAGTGTGTCCTTCCTCTTTGACTGAATATCTCACTATGTGGACAGACACATATTCTTGACCATCATCAGGGGATGGCCAGGCATCTGAGTTTTCAACCTTTTAGTTACTGCGAATACGGCTGCTTTGAACATCTGTGTATAGTTTTCTGGGACTGTTTGCTTGTTTTTATGGTGCTAGGGATCAGACCCAGGGCTTCACTTGTGCTCGGCGGATGCTCAACCACTGAGCTGCCCTCATGGCCTGTATTTGGTCTGAATTTCTGTCTCAGTGCTCTGCTTCACACCTAGGAGTGCAACTGCTGGGGCGGATGGCGACTTCCACTGTGGAGAATCACCAGAGCCTCTTCACAGCAGCGGGGCTCACGTCACTCCTACCAGCAGTATATGAGGCTTCTAGTTCTTGCACCTCCTTGCCAACACTTGTGACTTTCTGCTGCTGTTCCTGCTTTGTTTTAAACAGCCATGTTAGATGACGGGCAGTGTTACCCTGCTGGGTTTTGAGTTCTCGTTCCCCATGAGCCGGGATACTGAGCATCCTATGTGCCATGTGCTCTTGGGCCACTGCTTGGGGTTTTAATGCCTTGTGGCTGTGTTAAAAATGTGATGTTATGGGCCAGCCGGACAGACGGCTCAGCAGTTAAGAGCACTTGCTGCTCTTGCAGAAGACCCAAGTTCAGTTGCCAGTGCCCACATCCGGTAGCTCGCAATGACCTGTAACTCCAGCTCCAAGGGATATGATGCCCTCTGCTAGCCTCTGAGGGCACCTGTATCCACATGTGCACATACCCACCTAGACACACACACACATACACATAGTTAAAAATAAATCTTTTAAAACTTATATGTTTTAAAGGGAATATTACAATACGAAAGGATACAATAGCTCTGAAATTTGCTCTAAAATATGACAGGACAAAGATTAGTTTTTGTGGGTTGGAAAGATGGCTTAATGGACAAATTGCTTGCTATATAAGCATGAGGACCTGAGTTCAGATCCCCAGAACCGATGTGAGGGCAGGCACAGTATGCATCTGTAATCTCAGTATTCCATGGTGAGGTGGGAGGTGGAGACAGGAAGGTCAGGGCATAGTGAGTCTGGCAAACTCAGTGGCAAATAAGAGGGCCTGTCTCACACATGGGGGAAGCAAGGGCTGACACCCAAAGTTGTCCTCTGACCTCCGCATGTACACCATGGGACATATGGGCCCACAAGTGTGTGCACACGTATGTCTTGGGGGGAGCAAAAAAACAGGTTAGTTTCTTAAGAGACAGTTGTAAAAGATCTCAAGAGGGGACTGTGTATGATCTGGTTGCTGGACACATGATGGATCACTGACTTGCTTCTCACAGAAAGAAAAGTTCTGGGCCGGTGGGAAGGCTCAGTGGGTGAAGGTGCTTGCTACTGAGTCTGGTGGCCTGAATTCAATCCCCAGAACCGGCATGGTAGAGAGAGAACAAATTCCTGCAGGTTGTCCTCTGACCTTCACTTATATGCTATGGCAGGTGCACACATGTACACACACATGTACACACATCCACACCCACACCACACAAAACCACAGCACACTAAGCAAACACATAAAGAAAATGCAATTTAAATGTTTTAAAAGAAGCTCGACCCTGCCTACCTGGTGGGCTTCCACTCTTATCGCACGCAGGGCGGACTTGAAGAACTCCGGGGAAGGCTTCCCCACCACTTCGGCCTCTACTCCGCAGGCGTACTGGCAAAGACAGAAGGACATGGCATGGGCTTGAGATAGAGAACAGGAGTGTGACCAGCCATGCAAGGGGCCTTGATAAGAAGAGACACAGTGGGCCTGAGACTCACATCTCACAGGCTCCATGACAGGCTGATACCTAGAATGCTTAGGACACCTGCGTCTGGCCCTGCCACCCACTCGAAGCCCACCTGCAGGAAGTGGCACCCATACCTGGCAAAGCTACAGGCCTGGGCAGGAGACCAGGGCTCGTTTGCATGCTCAGCACCAATCACGCTCTTGTTCCTCCCTGAGGCCCACCTCCAGCTGGGTCACAGGCCTTCCCAGGGGGTCTAGGACTCCATCCGCCCACCTGCCCACTCCTGGGCACAGGGAGGCTGGAGCTGCTGGAGCTATGGAGATGGGATGTGAGCTGAGGCTGACCTAGGGCAGGAACCTAGGTAGCTGATAAACCACAGTCACAGTGGATTCGAGGGGCCTGGCCACAGATGGCTTTGTAACATGGGGGTTTGGCTCAGGAAAGAGGTCAGAAAGGACACATCAAGTCTGAGGTGTCATCAGGGACAGGGAGGAGGCAGGTGGTACACACAGACACTAAAGCCATAAGTCCGAGGAGGGTGACAGACAGCATGCTGGGAGAGAGTACTGGGAGGTGGTGGGGAGGGGCCAATCCCAGAGGAGAGGGAGTGTGTGGCTGGAAGCCCACACAGGAGGTCCCACTCAGAAACACAAAAGGCCACTTGTATGTGAAGCACACCTGACCCAGAAGGTTTCATCAGACAGCCTGAAGAGGGCATGGGACAAGCATGGCAGGTACCTCAAGTGCCTTCATGTAGGCTCCGACATCTAGCATCAGGCCAGAGGCTTCCTTGTAGTAACGTCTGCAAGAGAGCAGGATGATGTGAACAGAGCCAAGGTGCAGGTCAGTGCAGATACCACACCGAGTGACCAATGGAAGCAACAGGGAAGAACCAGAGGGCCAGCAGCTCTGGGGCACCATGAGTCAGTCAGCACCCCTTACAGCCAGCCTTGTGGGGACCCTACCACAATGATTAACCAGGGACCCAAGGGGGACAGATGGATCCAGCTGTTAACACAGAGGAAGGCAGGTGACCTGTGCTCTGAGAAGGGACAGTAGGCCCCTGGAGCATGTGGTGCCTCCCTGATTGCTAATAATTAACCCCTAACGGCTGCCTGAGAAGAAAACTCCATTAGTTCCACAGCAGCCTGCCCACATCTCCAGTTAGCCAGGGTCAGGCAAGGTGCCAGGTTTCAAGGGCACCAGCTTCTTCCATGGGAAGATGACACTGTCTTCCTGGCCTCATGGAGACCGATACGCACTTGGCTTGAGGGACTATTTCTTTTCAAGACAGCCCTGTTGGTCTTCTGAATGCCCCGCTGCCCATCCCATCTCAGAGTCAGGCCTTGAGGTACACGGGAGTCCTAAACACAAAGTGGGGCTGTCTGAGCAAAGCCTTGTGACCAGAAGGAGGCCAGAAGGTGTCTTACCCACCATTCTTTAAAGATGAGATTCACTGAAACCCAGGAACGGTAAGGGGGGCCTGAGTTTAGAATTATTCAAGGGTCTGGCCATCCACATCAGTTTCCCTTCTCTTCCATGGCTTCAGATTTGGGATATTAACTAAACATGTGAACACAGGACTGGAGAGGAGGAAAGCAGGCTGGCGTTAGCATTCGAATCCTCCCTCTGCTTTCTAACAGTGACTCGGGGCTATGAAAACCTCTAGGCCTCAGTTTCCTTTTCTGTAAAATGGCCAAAACAAATGAAAGACCCACTTCTTGGACTATTGTGACACCTGAACAAAATAATATATGCCAAGTTCCTAACATGATGCCTAGAACACAAACACCACTCAATGGAAGACTGGAGGATAGTGTAAGTAGCTGTTCACCCAGGTAGACAGACCCTGAGACAGGGAAAAAGGAACACAAATGCCAGGTTGTGGCGTATGCCTGTGGTCCACACTCAGGAGGCTGAGGCAGGAAGATTTTGAGTGCCAGGCCAGCACAGGCTACAGAGCAGACCCTATCTCAAATCAAACAAACAAAATGAATACAGGTCTTTCCAAACTGTGGAGCCAACACGTGTCTGTTCACCTGGGTATTAGATCACAGTTCCTCAGAGCTGCCTGATGCCGGGCCATTCCTCCATCTGTGCCACCCCTGGATCCTTTGGGACCCTCTTGGTCAGAACTGAGGCTCCTGTACCATCATCCACTGCAGGTCTTGGGAACAAGCCCCTGGTCCCTCTGCACACCCCACTGCTGCCCTCAGCCAAGCCCTGGGCCTTGCCAGTAGCCGGCCCTGCCTTACCCTTCTCAAGGCTTGGGAGCCTGGAATCTGTCTGCTGAGGGTGCAGGCTTCTCCTGTCTCACAGAACTTGGGAATCCCAGTGAACCCTAGGCCTTTCCAGCCCCCTCCCCCATCCTACATGTATGCCCTGGGGCCACCTATCAAGGACACAGAATACACATTGTATGTGTTCACTGAGGGTCACACTGAACTGGCTTCTGGGGGGGGGGCTCTCAATTTATACCCTAAATCCAGAATTTCTCTGTCTCTCTCTCTGTCTCTCTCTGTCTCTCTGTCTCTCTCTCTCTCTCTCGCTGTACTTTATTTATATGGCCTTAAAAATTGTTTCTATCCCAGTATTCAGGAGGCTAAGGCAGGAAGATCACAGGTTCAGGGTCTCTCTGTGGCCCCAGCTGTCCTGGAACTCACTATGTAGTCCAGGCTGGCCTTGAACTCACAGAGATCTACCTGCCTCTGCCTCCTGAGTGCTGGGATTAAAGGCGTGTGCCACCACACTGGGCCAGGATCACAGATTTTAGGCCAGCCTAAACTACAGAAAGACCCTGTCTAAAGAATTTTTTTCTTGTTTTTTCATGTGTATGTATGTGTGCATATGTGTATGTGTTTGCATGTGTATATGTGTATGTAGAGGCTCGAGGCTGATATAGGGGAATTTTCTGGAAAGCTCTTCTACTTTATTCTTTTTTGGGCAAAGTCTCTCGATCCAGCCCAGGGTTAACTGATATGGCTTGCCTTGTTAGCTGGCTTGCTGCCATACCGAGGCATTTATGTGGCTTCTGGGGCTGGCAAGATAGGAAAGTCCTCAGAAGCTCTTGGGCCAGCCAGCCTGGTGCACGCAGCAGCAAACAAAGGAACCCTGTCTCTAACGCGGTGGAGGGCAACCTGAGGTTATCCTGTGACCTCCACATGTGTACCCTGTACTACACATGGCTGCATTCACAGATACTGACACAGACACAGACACACAGACACACACAGACACACACAGACACACACAGACACACACACATTTTTTTTTTAAATAAAGGTGTTTCTTTTGCATTTTCACAATAAACTATAATGGCTATTTCCTTAGCCGGGTCCAGAGTTTAAAGAATTGGAGCATGATAGTGGAGCTTGGCCAGCAGAGGGAGACACTAGTCCTGGGGCTGTTACCTAGGTAGCAGGTGGCTTACTCAGTCTAACAGCTTGGTAGGACTTGGGGACAGGCCAAGAGTGGCCAGCCTGTCTCCCTGGACTCCTAGTGTAGAGGAGCTGTAAACAGTTCCACTGAGAAACTGGTAAAGATGTCATGAGCTGGTGCACTGCCAGGGTAGGAGACAGAGGCTTCCCCCAGAGACATTAGGCTAAGCCCTGAGGGGAAGGAGCACACAGGCACCAGAGTACCTAAGAGGACCAGAGTGGACTACCCTGACCCCCAGACCCACAGTGGGCCACCCTCCTTGGACCAAGGGCCTTCAGCAAGCCTCCAGAGGGTGGTAAAGAAGGGGCTATGGGTAGCCCAAGGAAGGCACGCAGGGGAGGATTCATGAGCGCCCTCCCCCACAAAGAAGTGGGTGGGGCAGATGACAGAGAACAGACCTAACTCAGCCACCAGAAGAAAAGGGAAACTTCCAAAATCAAACTGCCCGCCGTAACAGGTGTAGCTGTTGGCAGGTGAGGATTCTGGGGGCTTCCAGGCTGTCGGCTAGAGGACAGAGGACACTGGTTAGATGGGGACAAGCTTCCCATTTAGAAACCTCACCCCTAAGGAGTCCTTGAAACACAGTTCTGCTGACCTCAGATTCCCAGAGGCTTATTCAAGTTAAAGGGCATTAGATTCTTTAGACTCACCAGGTGACTTAAAATACACAATCAGGGGCTGGAGTGATGGCTCAGCAGTTAAGAGCACTGACTGCTCTTGCGGAGGACCCAGGTTCAGTTCCTAGCACCCACACAATGGCTCATAACTATAACTCCAGTTTCAGGGGATCTGATGCCCTCTTCTGGCCTCTGAGGGTACTGCATGTACATGGTGCACATTCTTGCACGTAGGCAACTCATACATGTAACATTTAAAAAATATAATAAAACGATCAACACTTCATTTTTGTTATGTTCATCTTTTGAGCCCAAACAGGACGTGGATTCTCAAAATCAAAGTGAGAACTTTTACTCTTTGCATCTTTCTTTTATTTTAGTGACTGATTCTTGTGATCTATCACCCAGGCCGCTGTGTACAGACACGAGAGGGGAGTTTCCATTCTTGTTTTCTTCCTCCATGGACAGGGTCTTGGTTACCTGCTTCTTAGCACAGAGATGCTCCTACAGTGCTGACGTACTTCCTTCCCTGACCTTTGAACCCTGGCCTGGTTAGCCAGGCATTTCTTCCAGGTCTTCTCTGCCTTCAGCTTGCAGATATGTTTGCTATGAATCCGCTTGTTTTTAACACATTCCCCTTCCCCCTCAGGTACAGGCTGTGGTGCTTGTGGCGGTCAATCTTCTTAGATCCGTGATCTCTGCTGAGAAGTCTGTGCAGGATTCGCACCCTCGTCCATCCAGGTCACCTCCTCAGGCGTTTGAGCACTGGCAGTGCCCTTCTGCTCACCTATGCCCAACTGTTCTGGTGAGCTGAGATGATCCTTCCGCCTCCACCTCTTAAGTGCTGGGATTACAGGTGTGCACCACCATGTCCAATTTATGAGGTGCTGAGGACTGAGCATAGGGCTTTATGCATGCTAGGAAACCACACTACCAACTGAGCTACACCCACAGCTGGCCTCCTTCAATTTTCCTTTTTTTTTAAAGTTGAATCTGGGTTGGTTTTTATAGGGCTCATATTTTCCTGTATTTCTTTTATGGTCCTGTCTATTTGGTGTTCTATACGCTTCTTGTATTTGTATGGGCATGCCTTTCTTTAATTTTTGGAAATTTTCTTCTATGATTCTGTTGAAGATCTGGTCCATGCCATTATCTTGGAATTCTTCTTCTTCCTGTATGCCTATGATTCATAAGTTTGGTCTCTTTATGGTGTCACACAATTCCTGTATATTCCATTCCTGTAATTTCTTAAGTTTTTCATAATCTTTGCTTGAGTGGTCTAGTTTGTCCACTTTATCTTCCAGTCTTGATACTCTGTTTTACATTTCATTTTCCTATTGGTGAGGCTTTCTCCTGTTTTTTCTGATTGGCTTATGGAGTGTTTCACTTCCTTTTTCAATTCAGCCTGAGTATTCTTCAATATTTCTAACTCTGTTCTGAATTCATTCAGAAGCTTTTTCCTATCTTCCTTCAGTTCTTTAATTTCTTTTTGTGTGTGTGTGTGTTCTTTAAATTTGCTGAATTCTTTTATCATGTTTATAATTGTTCTTTTGAGTTCCATGTCCTGCATTATCTCTAGGGGGTTCTCATTGTACTCCCCTAATATTGGTATTTGGTGGGGATATGTTATTTTGGTTTTTCATGTTATTATTTTTTCTCTGTGATTTTGACATGTGAATTTCTTTTGTAGTTTCTGATTCTTGTGTGAGACTCAAGCCTTCAAGTTTAGGTCTGCTTCTTTTTGTAA